GTAGTGAGAGGGCCCTGGGCATGAGGCATGAAACTGTGTCATTCTCACTATAGCGAGAGGATTCTCGCTGTAGCAAAAAGGCATTGGGAGAAGGGGTGAAACTGTCACTGTAGCGACAAAGCCACAGTTTAGGGTGCAGTCTCGCTGTAGCGAGATTCTGCAGAAACCAGGATGCAATTTTCTCTTATATTTTTGCTGTAATAAGAGAGGGTGTCGCTGTAGCAAGGGGAGTATCTCGCTGTAGCAAAAGTGTCATGACTAGAGAAGATTTAAAGGGGCTAGGGCTTGAGAAACTCATTTTTTCCCTTTTCTTTCTTCAAGGTCCCTTCAATTCTCTCGACCCAAAATCTTATTTCACTGATTAAATTGCCTCTAAGTCGTTTGAGAGCAAGATTGAAGGTTGAAATTATGTGGGGAACGCTTGGAGGTAAGTTTTAATAATTAAGGTTTCAGTTTTTCATCCCTATTCTCTTATTTCTTGATTTTCCTTGGTTCTCACGAGAAGTTTCCGTGTATTTAGGACTAAGTTCGTGTGAGGAGCCTTCTCATTTCTGATTTTGTGTGTGGGTCTTCATTTGAGGTAAGAGGGACTCTACCCTATCTCATTTTGCTTAAAAAACCTGTTTAGTTACTATGTTTTGTAATGTGATTGAGATAGATAATGTGTGGTGGGTATGATTGTGATGATTTGAAAGTGATTTGAATGGATTTTTATAAAGAATTGAAGTTGAATGTGATGAATGGAATGGTTGAGCCCAATATAGGTGTGTTTGCGTGTCCTTGAATGATGTAAATAGATGGAAATGAGTATAGATGGCACGTTGAAATGTTGTGTGTATGAAATAGACATGTGGGTTGTGTGTGGTAGATGAATGTGGGTCATTGGGTCGTATATTGTGAATGAATGTGGGCACTTGTGCTGTGTGTGCGAATGAATGTGGGCTTATGTGCCGTGTAATGTTAATAACTATGGATAATTGTGCTGTAGGTTGTGCATGAGTAATGTGTGTGGTTAAAATGTGTGTGAATGGGGCATGTTAAATGTGGTTGTAATGATGTTGTGAATGGTTTAGCGATATACTAGAGGTGTGTGGAAGATGAGGATGGTAAAAATACCTTGGGGAAGAGAGAGTGGTGGTGACACCAAAGTGAGAGTGGGTGCACCACGGGCCACACACTCTCCTTTTGACTAGACTTCTGACCACTACCTTTATTGAGTGACCCGTGACTGCCCACATGGTATCCGTGAAGCGGGGGTGACCAGTGACCATTCATGGTATGAAACTGTGATCATAGTGTCATAGTGAGCGTTGTTAGGTGCGTTAAGATCACTGTGTAAATTGTTATGGTACCGTGAGTGCATAAGTTATGAACTGAAATGAAATGCTTGAAATATTGATTGTAATTACCTAGACTCAAGTAAATATGCTAGAATACCTATAGATACGCATGGTGAGACTTTATGTTAGTTGTGTGTGTTGGATAGTGTAGAGTATTCACCCTTACATTTATTTTTTAGGTAACCAAGACGATTAGCACCAGACTTAGTGAAGGAAGGATGAACTACTATAGAACTTAGATTGTATTTTGAAACTATGATGTAACTGAGTTAGTCCTGTAACAGTCTTTGATGTAAATTGTAATCTTTTATTGTTTTGAACCGTTTTATGAAATTCTGTAATGAGATCTTTTATTAAATGAAAATTTCATTACTCCAATTTTACAAAATTATTACTTGGAAATTTAATTTAAGGTGTTACATCAAGTTTTTGTACCTATAGTTCATACACCTAAAGATATAAAGTTAGTTGGATATAAATGGGTTTTTGTGCGAAAATAAAATGAAAAAGGTGAAATTGTAAGATATAAAACATGACTTGTTACTCAAAGTTTTTTGCAAAGACTTGGCATTGATTTTGAAGAAACATATTCATCTATACTTGATGCAAATACTTTTTAATACTTAGTCAGTTTAATAGTAAATGAAGGACTTGATTTGTAATTAATGGATGTTGTTACAACCTATTTGTATGGCTTACTTGATAATGACATTTATATGAAACTTCCTAAAGGTTTTAATTTGTCAAATGAATAAATCACTTTATGGATTAAAACAATCTGGATGCATGTGATATAATCGCCTTAGCGAATATTTGTTGAAGGAAGGATATAAAAATGACCCTATTTATCCATGCATTTTTATAAAAAGATGTTATAATGGATTTGTAATAATTGTTGTTTATGTTGATGATTTAAATATCATTGGAACTCCTGAAGAGATTTCAAAAACATTAAATTGTTTAAAGAGGGAATTTGATATGAAGGACCTTGGAAGGACAAAGTTTTGTCTTGGATTACAACTTAAATTTGTAAAGAATAAAATTTTCATGCATCAAGAAACTTATATAACAAAGGTATTAAAACAGTTTTAAATGGATAAATCACATCTATTGTTTACTCCAATGATTGTAAGGTCATTAAATGTAAGTAAAGATCCTTTCAAACCTCAGGAAAATGATGAAGAACTACTTGATCTTGAAGTACCTTATCTTAATGTAATTTGAATACTAATGTATCTTGCTTGTCATACACGACCTGATGTATCATTTTATCCAAATAAATCTAAGTTTGACTGATTAGTTATGCAGACACGAGTTTTTTGGCTAACCCACATAATGGTAGATCACAAACATGTTATTTGTTTATATGTGGTGGTACAGTAATTTCATGGCGATGTATGAAATAAACTATAATGACTACATCATCTAATCATGCAGAAATTTTAACATTACACGAGACAAGTCGAGAATACGTTTGGTTGAGATCTATGATTCAACATGTGTAAGAAACTTGTGGTTTATTTTTAGAAAAAATGACTCTAATAATCATATGTAAAGATAATGTTGCGTGTATTACTCAGTTGAGAGAATGAAAGAATGGTACATTAAAGAAGATAGAACATAACATATTTCTCTAAAATTCTTTTTTACCCATCATCTTCAAAAGAATGAGGATATAAATATTCAACAAGTTTGTTCATGTGAGAATCTAACAGATATTTTCACAAAATCACTTCCAAGTAAAACTTTTGAATAACTAGTTCATAAGATTGGACTTTGTCGTCTTAGAAATGATTGTTCACATGAGGGAGAGAATTAAATACACTCTATACCTTTTTTTCCTTAGCCATGGTTTTTCTTGACAAGACTTTTAATGAGGTAGTATCTAATAACATATTAAAGAATAATATACTTTTTCCTTTTATTAAGTTTTTATCTCATGGAGTTTTTTTTCCTAGTTAGATGTTATGAATCATATTATCAAATAATAGACATTCAAGAGGGAGTGTTATGAATTATCGTGAGTAAATGTCTATATTCATAACTTCTTATATTCTTTGTAATTTAAGAAATTGTAACCGTTTTCTTTAATTTATATTTAAAGATATAAAATTATTTGATTATAAATTTAAACTTATAAATAAGTATCTCATTTATATTGAGAATATATGAAATAAAATTGTGATTCTTTCTTCTTTGCTAGTATTGTTCTTTCTGTTTTCTTACTTACTTTTTATAATTTTACGTTCATTTTTTAACAACTATCATTTAATATATTCAAGTAATTAAAATTCATGTTTGATGTCAATTAGCATAATTATTAATTAGAACATATGATATAAAAATCTTAACAGACTAAAAATTTAGCACAAGTTTTTTATTGTATTTTTTAAAAAAATTGAAAGTATTACACCAATTATTTTCACAACTTATTGCATATATAGTAATAATTGAGAGAAAAAAAACATCAAATAGAACTATAACAACCACTTATTTGTATTCTTTCGTGTTTGTATTATTTAGACAGTAACCTTAAACTTTAAGAAGCTATTCGGAAGTCGATAAATAAAAGCAATTTGAGAGAGAGCAGTTGAAAAGAAAAAGAGATAAAATTATTTTTTATTTTAAATCAATAAAACTATATATTATTTATAGTTATATACTATATTTATGTTAATTTATTATTATATTTTTAATTTAAAAATTATTAAATTTTATTTATCATTTTTAAAAAATACCATCCCTTCTTTTTAAAATAAAACTCCTTGCCTAAACAGCCACCAAAAGATGTGAAGATATTTGTCACATTGTTAATTCCTCTTCTCTAATTTATTTCGTTTCCAACAATATAACAACTGATTAAAAAAGTGCATTTCCATTGCCGGGAATCGAACCCGGGTCTCCTGGGTGAAAGCCAGATATCCTAACCGCTGGACGACAATGGAACTTGGAACAAAGCCTTCACCACTTATTTATTCTTAAATGTAATAGGTGGAATTCAGGCCAATAGTTTTTGGTCAACAATATTTTCACTCTTATCGTGGGCGAGACATCTGTAAACAGTTGAGGAAATTTCATTTTATTCTCTCTTTTTTATTTGAAATTTTAATTCTAGAATTTACAAAACTATTTTCAAAAATAATTATAAATTAATTTATAAAATATTTCTTTGAAACTTAATCTTTAAAATATATTTAACTCTTTTAAAATTTATTTTTAAAAATAATTTTTTCACTTCTAATTTTTTTCAAAATAATAAAAAAGTTTAAGAGTTCAAATTTGAAAAAGTAAGGGGTGGGAAAAATGATTCCAACATCTTATTTTATCAATGGTATATTCCAACAATTAAGTGCATATTAAAACCTCCATTATAATCTAAATAACATATTTTTTCAATTTTTTTTTTTTTACAATTAGACCTATGAACTCCTTGGTAATTATTATTTTTAAAAAAATTAGGTATTCGTTTTTAATAATGATTCAATTTTATTTTAGTAAAAATGTATTTAATGTTATTTTCAACACAAAAATATAGATTTAATCGAAAAGTAAAACACCAAAATCACAATTGCTACCTAAGTTTTTCAATATCATTTTTTTTAAAACCTTTTTTTTTTTTTTCATTACTTGTCAAATAATACAATTATTGAGAAAATATAATCGTCTTCTAAGTTGGCTAACAGTGGTTTGGAACACTTGAAGTTGCGCAGTGGTTGTTGGTTCCCTCTTTTATCTCTCCCCAATCTGTGTGTTGAAATCATAATCCACTGCATTCGGATTAGGTTCATTGGAATTTCTAAGAAGTAATTGAAATGGCGAGCGCGATGGTAGAGGATAACAGCTTCGAAGATGATCAGCTAGCGAATATGACCACCGACGACGTCGTCAGAGCTTCTCGTCTTCTCGACAACGAGATTCGCATTCTCAAGGTATGTTTTCGTTTTAATATTTCGTGTAACCTTGTCGATTACACTATCTATTTGTGCTGCTTCCATTTTCTTCGCCGTTAGGGTTTCTGATTGTGGTTGAATTGTTTATCGTGGCTAAAGGAAGAATTGCAGAGGACGAATCTGGAATTGGAATCGTACAAGGAGAAGATCAAAGAGAATCAGGAGAAGATTAAGCTTAATAAGCAGCTGCCCTACCTCGTTGGCAACATTGTTGAGGTAGCTATGTTGTTTGTTTATCTGTTTTGGATGTTCTGTTTGGAATTTTTGGGTGCTGAATTCTGAATCCTCTGGAGTGGGTAGCTGAGGTTGGTTCTTAGTTTTTCCTGATTCTTCTCGGATTATGATGTGAATTTTTTTTTGCATTTAGATATTGGAAATGAACCCTGAGGATGAAGCTGAAGAAGACGGCGCCAATATTGATCTTGACTCACAAAGAAAGGGAAAATGTGTTGTGCTAAAGACATCTACTCGACAGGTGACATATATTTCGAAATCTTCTGTTCCGATACCATTTTAAGATTATTTGTTGTTCTTCTTGTTACCTTTATTATTATATGCTTTTCTTCTTGTTTGCCTTAGTCGATATTAATATATTCATAGAGAGATAAATAGCTCCTCATATAACTTACAGAAACGATAATCTTGACTGCAGACAATCTTTCTTCCTGTTGTTGGGCTTGTTGACCCTGACAAGTTAAAACCTGGTGATCTGGTTGGTGTCAACAAAGATAGTTACTTAATCTTGGATACCCTGCCTTCTGAGTATGATTCTAGAGTTAAGGCCATGGAAGTTGATGAAAAGCCAACGGAGGATTACAATGACATTGGTGGATTAGAGAAACAGGTGAGCTTTAATTATTTGTACCTTAATTTATTGAAGCAAAATATTCTTTTATTTTTGGTAAGGTGACAGTATCATGTGGATCAATCAATAACATGGTCTTTGTTGACAGATTCAAGAATTAGTTGAAGCCATTGTTTTGCCAATGACCCACAAGGAGCGATTCCAAAAGTTAGGAGTTCGTCCTCCCAAGGGAGTGCTCTTATATGGACCTCCTGGAACTGGGAAAACATTAATGGCCCGTGCCTGTGCAGCACAGACAAATGCCACATTTCTGAAATTGGCTGGTCCTCAACTGGTCCAGGTGTGACAATCTATTTCTATTTTTTACCTTTTCTCCTTTATATATTTCTAAGCATGACTAATGATTCCATCTTACATGTTTGTACTAATGATTCCATTGTTACATGTCTATAACATTTTTCCCACCTTTTTATTCTGCAATTGAATAGTTGGTACACTAGGGCCAGATTGTTCATTACTCTCTAGTCTTTTTTAGCTAAATTTTGCTTGTGATGTATGTCAATTACATTTGTTGATTATACACAGATTATTCTTCATTTACTCTTATTTTAATGTTCTGAGTACAAGAGTGCATAAAAATAGATCAGATTCAAATGTTTTCCTATCTATCTGACCCATCTAAATAGTCAGTCTTTTTTCTTCTTATTGCATTTGTTCACTACTTACTTTATGTTTGTATTCATGTCTCTGAACTGGGTTGGGATTAGAATTATCTAACCTGGAATTTTGTGCAGATGTTCATAGGAGATGGAGCAAAACTTGTTCGTGATGCATTTCAACTAGCAAAAGAGAAGTCACCATGCATTATATTTATAGATGAAATTGATGCAATTGGTACAAAGCGTTTTGATAGGTATTAATTGGCAGGAGTTTAAATCTACAATTGAAATTGACCTTTTTTCCCCTTTTGAGGTAGAGACGGTGTTAGTTAGTTCAAGTATAGTGGTTCATCTACCTTATGATGTATCTTGTGGCTGATTGCAGTGAAGTAAGTGGAGACAGGGAGGTACAACGAACAATGTTAGAATTGCTCAATCAGCTTGATGGTTTTAGTAGTGATGACCGGATTAAGGTTTGTCTTTAATTCTGGCTATCTATATGTTTTATCTGGTGGATGTAATAAAATTAAGCTTCCAAGATGATCGTTGTCTTTGGGATAAGCATAACAGTTCAAATATTTTTGAATCAATAAATCCCATGTTTTGGCACTGGTCTTTAGAAGTTGGCATTAAATTTACTGGATTTTTGTTCAGTTAGGGTATAGGTGATTGAATGATGTGCCATTTTTGTTTATTCTTGTAAATTCCAGGTGATAGCAGCAACTAATCGTGCGGATATTCTTGATCCTGCCCTTATGCGTTCTGGTCGATTGGATCGGAAAATTGAGTTTCCACACCCAAGTGAAGAAGCAAGAGCTCGAATTCTGCAGGTTTGGTATCTTCAAACTTTGTCTTACATTTTTTTCAAACAAAATATACACTGACTACTCTCACTTTGATAATTTAGATCCATTCAAGGAAGATGAATGTTCACCCAGATGTCAACTTTGAAGAACTTGCTCGGTCCACAGATGATTTCAATGGCGCACAACTGAAGGCTGTCTGTGTTGAGGCTGGAATGTTGGCTCTACGCCGAGATGCAACCGAGGTTTATTTTCTTCCATATGTTTAACAACTTACATAATTTAAACCTCAATTTATCGAAACAGAAATCATGATTTAGATATTACTCGGTTGACACTTCTGCTTGGCGCTTTTCTTTTGTTTGTTAAGGCTGCCATTCTTATGAACACCAACATAATCTATGAAATATACACTCCCAAGCATATTTAGATGGAACGATTAAGAATTTTATTGCAATAATTATTCTCAACTTTATTTTTTGCTTTTCTGCTTCAGACCAACTTATAATTAATTTTATATACTTGTTGATGTTGGAATATTCGTAAAATTTGTTTTTGTTCCAAATGCAGGTGAACCATGAGGACTTTAATGAAGGTATTATTCAAGTCCAAGCAAAGAAGAAAGCAAGCCTGAATTATTATGCATAGGATGGATTGTGGAACGAACTATTTTTCAGTTAACAAAGATCTATGAGACATCTCAAGCCAATTGAAAAACTATTTTGATGTTTGACATTTGTTTGCTATTTTTATTTTATTTTTATTTTTTGCAATCTTTACTCTAATCAAATGATTCGTTACCTATAACACGCCAGAATCTTCATATTTAAAAAAACACGCAATACAGTTTAGAAATTTGATCTGCTTGCTACGATTTAAATCTCGTTGACCAGGCTACACGATTCTCTGGTGAATAAAGATTTATGAAACAGTTCCATTCGATTTTAATGGTTTCATTAAGAACCAGGCTCTAATCAGAATTTGATTCTAACTATTTAATACATCACTCGATTCAAGTTGGTTGAATGAGGTCGGGCAATATGTAGATTGCAGATAAATTTCTTTGAAAGTTGTTAACTCATTATTGGATTTAGTAAGATTTGATTATAAACCTTTTTGACTTTATGCTTAATTTCCTTATTAACAATTTGATTTAAGCTTGTTATATATAAGCTTGTTTGGGACTTTGTTCGTAGCATTAAGATTTATTTTTGGGTGTTGTACGTGTTTCTGAATGTATGGACCGTAAGGGAAGCAAAAGCGACATTAGAAATCTTATCATTTAGAAAAGAAAAAGCAAGTTTATGTACAAATTCATGTCACTGCATCTTATCTTGCTTGTTAAGGCAGAGTTAGGCAAGACAGCTCGTGATCTTCAGGAAAATAGCCTATGCCGTGGTGAGTGATATTGCATAGACAAAAAACATTGAGAACATGGTTCCTAATCTATATATAAGTCATGTTGTGACGTGTAATATTGCATGGCAAGATGTGAGAGTAGCAAAAGCCTAAAAACGCTGCTTGCAAATTGTGATATCGTTTTGTTGAAAAGAAAAAGACATTGTTACTTAATTTTAGTTATTAGCTTTTTCAGCGAACTTCATCATGATCAGCCCCTAAACAGACCTCAAGGAACATAAAGGATATGGACTTTCAACAGAGAAAAAAAAAATAAAGGAAGAAAATAATCAATCACAAGAAATGAGTACGGGTACGATATATAAGAACATAATTAATTTGGCAAATAGAACAGAGGCATAACTAAAACACATATTACTCGGTTAAATTATTAAATGATAACATGTTCCTCAATAAAAAACACGAAATTAAACTCTAGAAACAATCTCCACATAACATAAGCAAAACCCAAAAACACACGACGACTAATTAAAAACTACAGGGGCCTGTGAATGCGGTCTCAAACTAGAAGCCACGTGCTCAGCACTTGATTTCCTTCAACCCATAGGCAAAGTAGATAAAAGTTGGATCAGTAGCACCTTCCTTGTAATATGCAAAGACTAGGCTCCCATCATCGTGCATACTCTCCCCCACAAAACTGCCACATTGAAACTTAACCAGTAAGAATTATTTATGCATTTCAGAAAGCAACCGAATATCAAAGGGTTAACAAATGAGATTAAATATAAAGTGAAGCACGTACAATTGAAGGTCACTTAGCTTTGAGAGGAGGAACTTAGTTGCTCCCTCAATGTGCTTCTTAAACAACTCTTGCTTATCTGCCTCTAATTTTGGTGTCAACAACTTAATATATCTCTTCATAAATGTAACAAATTGCTTCTTATCAAAAGCTGGTTGCTCCTGAAAAATAAAATATATAAATAAATTTTTTGTAGTGCACAAGAAATCAACCCATGGTTAACAAGAAAATTCAAATAAGAAATCTTCCTTACCTGAAGCCTAAAAGTATCAACAATATCAACTACTTTGACAGCTTGATCATCAACACCCTCGTCCTCTTCTCCACCTTCAGCAGAAGGGTTAGCACCAATATCTACATTGACTGCTCCTTGAACAACCCACTGCCAAAAGCCACATTACATATAATAAAGTTGAGGCGCAACAAAGCACGTATGAAATAAAATATATTAGGAAACATTAAAAATATGGCATTCAAAGAAAATAAGGTTTCATAGATCATTCCCAACCTTTCCCTCCACTTCCCACAGCATTCCATTCTCAATTTCCTTGTATGGGAACGAGTCAGAGAGAAGCTCATCCCCTAAAAATTTCATCAAGAAACTCAAGTTTATTAGTTCAAGCACTTTTTGACAAAAAATAATCAGAAAAATTATACTTCTTTCCCAAATACACAACGTGATTTATCTGTTGTCGTTGCTCATTTAAGACTTTAATGTTTTCTTGTTTTTTCTCCTTATATATATATATATACAGCACGTGCTACTTGAACAACAGATTAAACCAATAAATTCCATTCTAATTTTGGATAATAATTGAAATTCCTTCCAACTTCAAATTTAAGGTTAGACCACTAAAGAATAAGCTTTCATCCTAGAGAAACAAAAAGAAATAAAAAACTTCTAACTTTTCTGCTTTTTGGGAGAAAAACTCCGCTATTTTAAATCACCCATGTCGAAGAAACAAAATCCAATTCTCGAAAAATATTTACCAGACAACGACAAAGGTTATCTATCTGCACATGTATTCATAGGATCCTACGAACATAACATGAAATTCATTCACTTTGAGGAACAAGTTTTTAGCGTTCATCAGAGTGACAACAAACCCATGAGATCCAATCCAAAACACAGAGAAAGAGAGAGAACAAAAAAAAAAAGGAACCCACTTCAGTAGCAAAAGAAAAGAAAAAGTTTTGAAGATGAAAGCTCTACCTGTGAGAATATCCTGGTAGACAAGCATGGTTAGAGTTGTTGTTTTGTCTCTGAACAAAGAAATATAGTCAACTTGGAAAATTATATGAAGCAGAGAGATCTAAGAGTTTTGAGTTTGAGTTTGAGAGGGTGAGAGAGACGGGTGAGAACAGAGACGGTGAGCTTTTATAGAATGAGAATTCAGAGGTCGGTGGGATTCCAGATATTTAGATTGCAAAAACAGTTCCTGATTTTTCTCCTAAAGTCCTAATCCAATACTTGTAATTTTACTTTTGCTTATTTTGTTGTTACTTGTTGCTGTTGGATGATAATTAATTTCAAAATCAAGATAAAGACGGTTAATCGAACTAGGACAAAGGAAGAATGATACAACCCCTATTTTGCCATTAAAAAAACTTCTCAAGTACTAGTTTCGTAGTGATAGTAGAATTTGTAGGTGATGGATGTATAGTATTATCCTTATCTAAATCTAACCGATATCTATTGAAGTTAGGTGTTTTCATCTGAAATTTGAATTTGAACCATTTGAGTAGATAAGGGGAAAATTAAGGGATAAGATGTTGAAATCAAGTGGGCATCCTTGCTCATTGGTCTGTTTTTCATGATAAGTTTCTCTTGTCTTGTGTTTTTTGGATTTTCAGTTTTAAAATTAAAAAACTAATGAATTATTAAAAAAATTATAACCATATACTCCTTTTCGTAATTTTTAATAAAAAAAATTACATTTTTTAGATTAACTAGGTTTGTTAGTTAAACAGATGGAACACTTGATTTGATCACTATTTTTTCAACTGAAATGACGAGCAGAACATGACCTTTTAAACCATTATTTTGTGTTTATAATATTTTTTTAAACTAAAAAGTTCCTTTGTTTATGTTCTGTAGAAGATGGAACTGGAAAAGGGCAGAGAGATATATAGACTTTGGTATGTTTATTGGTTGATGTACGTAAACCCTTGTTGGCTTAAAGAGTGTGTAAACGTGGTGTGGGGTAAGTTTCAGCAACAAGATATATTAATGGACAATTTAACCAATTTAGAATGTCTGTGGCATGGAATATCCATCTCTTGGGTGATATATTCTTTTGTATTTATTTTCCATATGATATGATGTGCGTTGGCAAGTGGAGCGAATAAAGGAAAAAGGTTAAGACCAATATGTTGACCTCTTAGCCACCGCTAATCATTTGTTGAATTTATAAATAAATTTAAATTCAACCAAAGCTCTCTGAGAGATTTTTATAGTAAAATCATTAAAAAAACAAATACTCAAATAAATTCAGGGTTTATTTAATTACTTAAATAGACTCAAATTATGTAGATAAAATTTGGCAACCCAAAAAACCGAATTTTGAGTTGATTTTTTTAATTTTATTTTATGTTTTTATATAATAAAATAAATATTATTATTTAAATTATATTTATATATTTATATTTTGTTAAAATAAATATTTATAATATGTTATTCTAATAAATATTTTTTTAGTTATATATAATAAAATAAGTTTTATTATTTGAATTATGTTTATATTTTTATATTATTTAAAAATAAATAAAAATAAAAATAATATTAATTTTAAATGTTTATTATAATTTATTTGACATATTTAAGATAAATAATATTTTTAGAAAACAATAATAATTATATTTTTAAAAACTAATTAAAATATTTAAATAATAAGTATATTATTTTAGATAATAATGTTAATGCTTAAATTATTTATATTTAAATAATAATCATTATATTTTCTAAAATTAAATAAATATATTAAATATTATTCTGTTTATTTATATATTTAAATACGTAATTTTGACTTAATATTTTTAAATATTAGTATGATAAAATGATATTTTGAATAAAAATTTTATTTTAACTAAATATTTTTTAAAATGATATTATTTAATATAATTTTTAATAAATTTTATTTGAGAATAAAAAATTATTTTTAAAAAGTACATAAAATATTAAATTATAAGTTAATTATTTATATTTGAGACAAATATTCTGAAATTAATGTTTTCATATTACTAAGGTAACATTGATGAATACAAAGTGCATTAATAAAGATGATAACAAATTTATAACAACATTAATAATTAATTATCTCCGTAATGGTGACCAGTTCCACAATGAGGGTGACGTTTGTGACGTGATGGGTTTCGTCGTTGTGATTGTTACTTTGAGATTTTAGGATAAACTTGTAGAGGATTTGGATCATCATGAAGGTCTAGTTGTTGGAATGCATTTGATGAATTATCAGGTTCATTAGTAAAATCTGGTTGGTAAAGAGACTGCATATAAATTTGTGCTGAAGATAGAGTTGTAAAATCAACTCCAAATAAGTTTGTAAAAAAAAATCCTCCGATGTTATTGCAAACGAATGTCTTGTGTTAATTATGTTTGCTTCTGACATAATGTTCGGAGGAATTGATGCAGTCTTGTGGTACGACAGTGTGGAAGTCGTACCGATTTCAAATATGTTGGTAGTCCATAGTTGTTGGTCGCTCCTCCTTGGATCTTGTAGTAGTGGTGACACAGATAAGAAATAGATGGAATTGACAATGTACCATTCAATGTATTCTTGTATGTGACACAATGGGCCTTACATTGGATGACCCGTTATTGTAAGCTCATGTCTGTTGTCTCATATCTCGATCCATTGAGCATGTCTTATAATTCAATTTTCATCCTATCTTCTTCTCATGTCAATTTTGTAGAGGTCATTCAAATTATTCAGTGAAGAAGGGACTTCTTGGAAGAGACGAAACTGTAATTTGACTCTATCTGTTTGGTGTCATTCAATAATTGCAAAACAAAGGATGGCGGTACATGAAGTCCACAGTTGGACATCTCTATATGCTTCCGTGGGTATTGATGTTTGCAAGTCTTAATATGGCGCCTATAAAAACTAAAAATAAATTTAACTTTGTTACTTAAGATGATTTGTAAAAGATAAGAAAATAAATATGAAGAGTTACCTAATTAGCTTAAATGTGATCAAACATTGATATACCCCACAACATCATTGTGAGGTTTATTTCGAAAGTTTAGTACTCTACCCCGCTCCATCTGCACACGAGAGGGTATGTTGATGGATTACTAGAAATTGACGCAATATATGGCATGCGATACTATGCCCAGGACATTAACAGTGATGAGCAACCACCCATTATTTTGCCACCAACTTCTGGGTCTCTGCACATTTTTCGGTACAACATAACTAAACAAGCAAAACCCTAACTATATCGTTTTGTTCTTATAAGATTAGTTAATAAAGCTAAATATATAAGATGTACTTTGTTACCTGTTTTGTTAGACATCAAAACACCTCCAATTAAACCTAGTATATAAGCCTTACAATGGGCGTGAACTTCTTTTTCAGATGGTTCTTCTGGTAATGGCAACATGTTGTCTCTCAACCACTTCAGTTTTAGCATAAAGCCAATAAGTGACTCTCCCTTGACTGACACGATACCAAGATATGCGTCACATATTTCCTTTCAGTCAAACATTGTTGGACCAATGACTGGTAAACCATCAACTCTTAGCCTGAGTTGAAGTGCAACATCCTCCAGGGTTATGGTGCACTTCTCTATTGGAAAATGGAATGTGTGAGTTTCAGGTCTCCACCTCTCGACCAAAACTGTTATCAATGCGTGATCCACCTTAAGATGCCTTAGCTTTGCTACCCCAGTAAAACCAAGTTGTTCAAGTATAGGAACAAGTAGAGGACTGAGTTCTGGCATTGAATGACAGAAAGATGAAATCATGTTTTTAGTTTCCTGCAGTTATTAATAAATTAGTAATATTATACATAGAATATTGATTTACATATTCAGTTAATAATGGTAATGTGTAAGAAGGCGAACTTGTGTTTGTTTTGCTTCCAAAACAATATTTTTAGTAATGGGAGCAAAGACGGAGAGAAACGAAGAACAAAGATGGATGCAAGTTTGAATGAAAACATATGGCCTTAGATGAACATATTTATAGATAAACTTTGGTACGAGAGAGTAGCCTTGGAATATAGAGAAGCCACTATCTCTTGGTCTGCGTGACTGAGAAGTCACTATCTCTTGGTCTACGTGAATGGAGAGGTCACCATCACTCGTAAAACATGGTGAAACATTGAATGATTGAGAATCCAACTTTACCATTATAAATAGCCATATTTTCGTGTTCATTTTATTCATTCAACCTTCTATCCTTGTTCTTTGTTCTTGTGAATCTTCTCCTTCTAAAAATGTCTTCAATCTATGTCATTGTTCACTCTGATGGTGCCATTAACAAATATTCTAATGAAGGAGTCACGTTCACCTTATCATCAGCCAAATTGGTACATCTAAGATAGGAGTAACTCTACAAAAGCTCAAGAAAGTCATCCACACAAAACTCAAAGAGACGAAAATGAAAGGATGACAACCATACATTTTTGTTACCCAATTAGATTTGGCCTGGGAGTTAGCAACTACACATTTGTTGAGTTGAACGATGATGAAGATGTCAAGGCACTCTTCAACATCCACGATTCAAATCAACTTCAATCAAGTATAAAACTATATGTTACATTTGCTATAAACGTAACCCAGCCACTATAACTTTTACCTTCATCTTCACCTTACCAAACTTACGAAACCATAAATCCATCTTTTTCAACATATGATATGAATTCTGACCTTCAGTCCTACACACAACTTTTAACTGGTTCATTCATGGACCTCAATGAAATACCCTCCCAACCATTTGAGTAAACCCTACCCTCTCAGCCTCTTGATAAAACCCTATTGAAGAACATGTTGTTATGGGTCTTCCAATCAAAGTATTTGATCCTTTTAGCGAGGACGAAGATGAAATCCTATCTCAACAGCAGGATGATGAAGAAGACTCCCTCTCACTTCTAAATATTCCACCATCACAACCATTACCATTATACAACCCACCTCCACATTTTTTAGACTTTCCTAGTCAAATATAAGAACATGACTTTGAGTTTGACAATGTCCTTGATCTTGAAATAGTAGTGTATCTGCCTGGAACACTATTTGTTGGCCAGCGCTTCCTAATAAAAGAACAAGTGCAAGACGCCATAAATAGATTTCACATTGTCAATCATTACACTTACAAGGTGAAGATGTCAAGCACAACTAGGCAAGTCATGGAATGCGTTCACAATGACTGTGCCTGGAGATGTTGCACTATATTGCGCACAAAAGAGCAACACTGGAAAATAATGAAGCTTGAAGGGTGCCACACATGTGCTTCCCCACTCATTTCACAGGATCATAATAAGTTGGGATCACGAATGATTTCTCAAATCATTCATGAAATTATTGAGACTAATCCATCCACACCCATCATAACCATCTTAGCCCACATAAAGTCCACAATCGGTTACATAATCAGTTGTAGAAGGGGATGGT